GCAACCAATAACAGTGGAGGTGGAGGCCGGGCGACAAATAAACACGATCTTTTTCCACCTCTCTTCTCCCGTTCGCCTATTTAACCTGCCCCTCTCTCCAATCCCGCAGCATTACCTACTTCATGATCTCCCTCAACTTATACTATATACCCCTTCTACGCCAGAGGCCATGTGACTCCCGGCGCACACCAGGCTCTCTTGGTTCGCCTGAAGGAACTCTGGGAAGAACACTCCCACCTTTGGTCCCAGGAGACGAAAGAGTCTCTAGTTCAACACATCCTTGCTGGTGATACTCGTATCACCAAAACTAACGAACCACAACCCAGCGGTCACAAGTTATGGACCGCTCAGATTACATTTGCCGTATGGATCATCTTCCGGGCGCAGTACAGCATGGAGAAGCTCTCCAAGATGAAGGCACGCTTGGTCGAGGAGTTTCCAGGGATCGACCCATCATCCTGGAAAAGCCCCGGCTTCAAGAAGCCAAGGACTCCAGCGAAAAGCCGTGCTGATGTTGGCTCAAAACCCAGCGCTTCTAAAGAGCAAAGCAGTCGTGTTGGGAGCGAGGACAGAGCTTACCTCAGTGGTGGTGATGGTGGTGGTGGTGATGATTACGAAGACGAAGACGAAGACGGTCGAGTGAGTTCCCCGAAGATTTCCATGAGAACTTACTGACAACATTAGCAGCCTGCTCACAATCGGCCCAAATTGATATTGAGCTCTGGATCTCGAAAGCGAACAGGGTCGCACTCTTCTCGAGGGGAGGCGAAGAAGCCTATCCGATCGCTGAGATCACCATGGCCGAATGCTCGTCGGCAGCAACGTAAGTCAACCCAGCTAAGTAACTGTCCAATATCTAACTATTGAATAGGCTATGCTGTTTCGTCGTCTCCTCAACCAAGCCGCCAGTCAACACCGGGTACTGGTAGCAGTCGCCAGAATCTCTCTGGTACTGCCAGAACATCGAGTGGGAAAAAGACCCTCTCAAACATGCAAAATTACGACGGAGACATCTCGCAAATACCAGCCCAACACCCCGAAGACCTCGGGCAGAGTCGAGCTCTACGCCCCAAAGAGATTCTGGTCGATCAACGAAAGATCATCAAGCCGTCAGCACGCCTGGATCTACTACACTCAAGAATTGAAATCATAGGGCTACGAATGAGCCTTCTTCATCCACCCAACCTATTGTGGTTTCACCAACTATCAGTCAAAAGAGTACAGTTCAGCAGGGTAACCCTCAGTCCGTCAAAGTACCAGCAGATCATCAGGCTTCCATTCAGCAGAACTCAAACTCGCAAAGTATCATTCCAGTAGGAAAAGGACTCTCTCGAACATGGACAAATTGCGATTGAGACATCGGGCAAACCCAAGCTCCTAACTGGTGAATGGCCCTGTTGTGTCATCGACTCCTCGATCAACCACTCCATCAAAGACGAGTGTGTGTCTTGGGCGGGGCAATGCTGCCTTTCTTCATATCCAAGATAGAACACTTATTAAAGCTCTGGAATTAAGGAAAGCTGTTTAAGTGAACGGTTGCAAAGGCCTCCGCACTTTTGACCTCTCATTCGACCTCAGCCAGCGCTTAGTGGCATCTAAATCCTACTATTGTTGTCTAAACTAAGACAAAATTCTACTCTTCTAGCCTAAAGTATGACAATCTCCTTTCTAAATTTAGACTATAGTGTACCAGTTTCTTCTGCTCTTATCCTAAACTACCCCTGGGAGCTGAAGTATAGAGAGGCTGGTGAGGGGAACTCGATGGTTTGCTTCGGCATGATTGCCCGTGTATTCTCAGTGGTGATCTTGTGACGTTTCGTAGAGGAGTAATCGCCGTGGATGCAAGGATAAAGGAAACACAATAATTCAGGAGGTGAAGTAATCGCCGTGAATGTAAGGGTAAAGGAAACACAACAGCTCAGTGGGTGAAGCTGGTATTGAATATGGGTGTGGACAGCAACGGTGTTAAATGAGGGTTGTGTGAAGAAAAAGAAATGAAGGAGGAGAAGAATGTAGAGAAAAGAAAAAGAGATTTGGTTATGAAATAACTGGCTGGCAGTGGACTGACAGTGGCAGTGATTCATAGCGGTTTAACAATCTAAGAAAATAAGAGAAACTAAAAGAAACCAATGCTTTCTTTTGAAAATTTATTTACACTCTACATCTTCTTCTCCTTCTCCTGTTCTCGCCGATTACAGCTGCTTACATATTCTCTCGTCTTAATTGCAGACCTACCGTCTTCTCGTCGTGCTGCCCAAGATCATCGCCAGCTGTAAGTTGCCTCTCCGCCTTTGCAATATCATCGCTAACAGTTCCCTTTGCTCCCTACAGAATCAGCTTCATTCTCTCGTCTTCGTCACGGATCCACCAACTCTTCTTGTTGTGCTGCTCAAGATCATTACCAGCTGTAAGTTACTTCTCCTGATTTATTACTTCTTCTCGTTAACGAATCATTCGCCTTTGCTCTAGCTCGATACCTTCACATCACAATGTCGCGCAGCGTCCAAGAAGAACAGGGCGATACCAGCGAGCCTCGCGTCGAAGAGACAGTGGTCGTGCCTACCAAAGATACTACACTGATGAGTCAGGCTGTGGAATATCTCCTAAAGACTACCTAGGGAGTCACCTCTCTCCCCTCCGTCGTTTCCCCCCCTTCTCTCCCTCTCGCCCTCTCGCCCTCTCGCCCTCTTCCTCCCTTACACCTACTACATGGTAGATCAAAGCTCTCAAATCAAGTTGCCAAGCTGACCGAGATGGTCGGCGACATGAAAGTCGGGCCTCGAAGCCGACGCTCTTCGGACGCAAGCAGCCGACGCTCTTCACAGAGTCGGGCGGCTGCTGATGGTGACAATGAAGTTGACGAAGACGCTGTCGCCGTCAATACATTTGTGAACAATGATGACTTCTGCATCATATTTGAATCATTTATCAAGAAGAGCCGACGAAGAACCAATGTCAAGCAGGGCATCAACACCAGTGAGAATGCTGAGAAGCTCCGCGAGGACGCAGAGGATCAGCTCAAGACCACTTGGGATCCCGAGACACTCGGTAAGTCCCTGTTTTCCCTTTCAAGTAACATACTAATTGATGTTATTCAAGGCGAGATACTTGCACGACTTGTGTCCCTGAACGATGATCAGACCATTCAGTTGTACATCGCGCTCAGCAAGCGACTACACCACTGGACGACTTAAAAACGAACAGATCCAAAATCTAGACACAAGTGGGACAACATGTTCCTTCACGTACCTGATAGAAACATATCATATGTATCTATATTGTGTTACCCAGCCCAAGGAGTAAACTCGGGATCGCGCCCTCGGAGGGCGGCCCATTCAAAGAGGCATTCGTGCCGCCCAAACTGAGACTCTCACTGCTGACGAAATAGCACAGAGAGCTTGTGACCTCGATTCCGCAACGAGTTCAACACAACACACGTTTTGGAGCAAGCCAAACCTCACATTGGCAATGACGACGACGATATGATGATGTCGCGGCGGACTCAGTCAACCTGGACCAAAGTTTCCCAGAGGATAACGAAGAGATCCCTGAGTCTGACGCCGATACCCAGTTTGCCACTGAGGTTGAGCCCGATCAAGCTGTAGAGGTGTTCCCGACGAAATTGTCGGTGTCCCAGGTAGTGTGTCTGCACTTGATTATGCAGCCGCCGCCAAAGCTGCCATGGAGGGCTGATTGTCCGTTGGGACTGATCAATTTGTCCTTGGCACAAAACCCAAATAGTAGTCTGTCTGCCAGTTGTGCTTCTATGGCGGTACCGTGGACTATGAAGCCAAACGCAAACTATGGCAGAGTCAACATCTCAGGCGTCACCAAGACTCTGCCGTTCATTCGCAGTTCAAGCAATTCTCGCGCCGCGCTCAACGTTTTGCTCTCGATAATGGACTTGACGATGTCGTCTGCGAACTCTGTGCACATATCGTACCTGACTCAATATTTCTTTACCAACTTAGCCACTGTTTCAGCTTTGGCTCGTCATATCAGAGATTCCTCCGAACAGAAGTTGGTTGCAGCCGAGGCTGATTGCAACTGGTGGAAAGATGGCAGCTTTGACGCTCTCGCTCTCGCAATCGCCCATGATGAGCTGAAGCATGCCTTCGGCTGGTACGACGACTACTTTTATGGATGGGCTGCTGCGAAGAATCGGCAGAAAGACGATCAAACATAGTCATATCGCCGCCGGAGCCTGGAGGACACCACTGTTTATTTTCCCAAGAAAATGAGCTGCAATATCCTCTCCCGATCACCAGCAAGTATACCTCACTATGCACTCATCTTCAGCACGGATCAGATCCCAACTGGATGAGCAAGTATATGGAACAGGCTGGACGGGCACTGGTATATGGCCCTCCTGCCCTCATGGACATCTGCCACAAAGAAACACGGTCAAGAATGGCATCAGAGAGACTTTGCTTACGGCCCACTAATAATCTTTCCTTTAGTATGGTCCATTCATTAAGATAGATAATAAGAATAATGTTCCTGTATTTCTGATACCGTTCCTAAGACGTTCCATTACTGCACGTAAAGAGTCAAAGAGCGGGCATGTATAATAAAGTTAGGATACAACTAGTCTAAGCATTAGAGTACTTATGGTCAAGACTTATCTAAACCATTGTTATTATGGTCATATCTTATGGCTCTCTTGTCTAAAGTTGGGAGGATGTCATGATGGCTTGGAGGGTACAGGAGGGGAAAGAAGGTGGGTGGGCAGGTGGAATATGGAGGACAACAGCGCTTTCCTTACATACATGTACGATTGCAAAATGGTCTTCCCGTACGTAACCTTTCACGAATCCAACTCACCTCTTACGCAGATCTCAAGCGCGACATTTTCCCCCATCGTCCACCTGTCTTGGCAGCTGGGTTCCAGTGGGCTGGTTGGCTCCTACCTCATGCGGTGGTGCATCTGGCGCTAGTGCGCGGACCGTTGGTAGCCTATCTATACCAAACTACTGGGACCAGTCTCCAACAGAAACACATCCGGTGTGGTGTATCGGTTAGCATACCGCGTTTTCACTCCGAAAAGTGCCGCGGCGAGCGGGGTTCGATTCCCCGCACCGGAGTTTCCTTTTGCTTTTATTTCTTTTGTTGTTTTTGTCGCTTTTCTGTAGCTTTCGTGGTGGTTGAGATAGATCTGGTTGAAGTCATCGCGAGGTTGCTGAGGAAGGAGCTCGCTCGGCCCGCAGCCCGCACCACGGGATTGCTCCACTTGAACACGTGACTCGATTTCAGCCAATGACATGCCCGGATTGTTTGTCCACCAGTTGTCGCAAAGCCAAGTGAGTGAGGTGAGTACCAGATGTGCCTGGGCGATTTGTTTGTTGGTTGGATTTCTTTGCGTTTTCTTCTTGTTCTCGTTTTTTTTTTCATGCCTATATATGTACGATATCGCGTGAGCTGGGACGATTGGTGTTCATGTTGGTGTTCATGTCAGAACAGTTGAAACCGCTGAGTTGCCTCATTTGACAAACAACTATCAAGGATTTTACACCATGTACTCGTTGAAATCCTACAGTAATGTTGGGATTTCGTATAAACTAGTCTAACATAGTCTCAAGTATTAGATATTTTCCTCGTATTATCTTGAACTTCTCATTATCATACGTAGCCTCGTTGGTGGAAGGTACAGGGTAGCAACAAGACTGCCGACATTTTTCCGCCCTCAAGTTGAACAGCAGCTCAACCATCAACTCCATTTCGTCATTCCATCCAACCACTTGAAGCAATTGAAACCTTCTGCTTCCGGAGTGACAAGCTGTCGCTTCAAGGGAGGCATGATAAACAAACCTTGATATGCGCGAGTTTATGGACTATGTCCACAGCGCCTTCTACGAAGCTACCGGATGGAATCGCGACAACTCATACGCAGCTCTGAATGTGACAAGTGATGGTAAGGACCCTGGTGTCTTTGGAGCTTTGGCCTTTATACTGACGAGGATACTCGCAGCTCTGCTAAACTTCCAAACCCCTCGCGGGTTGCGACTCACCCTCTCCTCCCTTGCGAGCCCTAACTTTGCGACATCTTACCAGCTCGGTTCAGTCGGTATCGTCGATGGCTCTATCTCATACCTCTTCTCGTCCGTACCGCTTCGACTTCTCTTGACACCACAATCCGAAACGGTCAATCTACCCGAGCTTTTGCGTTCATACAAGCCCCTCACCGAACTACCCCACCGAACAAATCCTCTACTTCAGACAGCACAGGACAAACCCGACTCGTCTCTTCTATATGGCCGATTTTACCTACCCCAAGCCCTGCTCGAGGCTCTAGTCGTCAAGCGATTTACACCTGCGCTTCAGGTCCAGCTCAGCGCTGTATCCGCCCACCACCTTAAGAACGGTGGCACCGTTCTGGGCCTGGCGCAATATGATGTGGGAAAGTACGCACTCGAAGGACTGGCGTCCTCAGACGGAGGACTGCTCGGATTCAGGGGCGTATATAATTTCGGCGGTGATGCCGAAAAGCCGTCAGACCAAGCATCAGTCGATAACGACAGGGAGAGGATATATGGCCGGTTCAGCACTGGTGGAGAAGTCTATTACGGAACGTTGAACAAGTCGGGCGGAATCAGCGTAGGAACCCGGTTTGCGACATTACCTTCACACAAGGGCACGCCGTTGTCCGCGACATTGACCCTCAACCCCTTGATGGGTAATATTAGCGCAAGCTATGCCGTGGTGGCTGGCAGGCATTGCAGCCTTGCCACGCGGATGGAGTTCAATGTCTTCAGCTACGAAAGCGCTTGGGCCATTGGTATGGAACTCTGGCGGAAGCCATTCACTCGACCAGTCATTGAAGACGAACCAGTTGTCGAAGACAAAGTGGTTGTCGACGAGAAACCAGAAGAAAAACGACCGAAGGAGCGCAGCTTCCAGGCTAAGCTGGAATGGCGCCTGGATGAACCCGAGCCAGTTATCGTCAAGCCACCACCGCCGCCGCCTCCCCCACCAAAGGAAGAGATAGAACCTGAAAAGCCCGGAGAGGAAAGATATGCTGGTGTGCTCAAGACCCGTCTGGACCAAAACATGCGAATAGGGGTGCTGTGGGAGGGACGGGTCAAATCACTCCTGTTCAGCTTGGGCAGTGGGATCGACCTGAGGAAGCTTGACAAGCCCTTCCGAACCCTCGGGTTGGAGATTCAGTTTTCGTCATAAACGGGCATCAAGCCATGGCGTGGACCACTTGCATGGCAATATCCCGCTACTGCAGTCGGGCCGTAGGATCAGGACGAGTATGGCCATGGGCCCTGCAGTAGCACATGTACGAAGCAACATTAGATCAAGCTGGCGGATTACGCCAACGGAAATAGCAACGTGGATGGACGTCAGAGTTATTACTGTTAAAGGGACTTGTACGATTATGGTGCATACATTGGCGTTATAGACTTAGCGTGTTGATTCGAGTAGGCAAAGATTTGTAATTACGAGAGCTGCCAGGCACCTCAGTACTATCTATGTGTCAATGTCTTACCAATAGGTTGTTCAGTATCAACTTGTGAAGTTGGTTCGTTTGTGATGCAACTTGGTATTGATGCATTATTGATTCCATCCCACGTGCAGTCAGGAGCTGAAGGGTCTGAAGATGCCGTCACAGCCGATTGAGTGGCTTTTTGGCGTTTTAGAAACAGTTTTGGGCTTCAAGCCATAAACATGCATAACACCCATGTTGAGAACCCTGATGGTCTCCAGGATATCGAAGTGTGGCTGTCTATGCAGGCGAGCCAATGGAATTATCAAAGATTAATAATGCAGAGCAAGACTGGAGACGACGCCACAGATATCAGCCACAACCGAGCAACACTTCACCAAAACGGTACTAGCCGCCTAGATGAGGCTAACATGGCCATCAAGGTTCTCACCTTAATTTGACCCACTCCCACTTCAGAGGAACTAACCACCACGTTCTGCTGCTCTTTTTCGTGGTCGCCTACTCACGGTTCAGATGAGAATGTGCTATTATCTCTCATGTCACACCCGTTGGTCACAGTGGACCAGGATGGTGATGCCAAGGGCTGTGGCAGGTGCCGAGTTCCAGGACCTTGGGACGTGAATATGCATGGAAGTACGACTGGAACAGTTGATATTGGGATGGAATGAGAGTAGGACAGTTACTCGCACATGGAATTTTTAGAGTTTAAGTTATGGCCGAGAGTTTAGATAAATCATAGGAGGTTCCGATCTTTATCTGCGCACATGTGCTGAACGTTTCCAAGATATCCCCTCCGTTACAACCTCATCCAACAGTAGGGGGCAGTGGAATGAATGCACGGCATACGTCTGATCAATACATTCAATGCAATGATCAAGTGTCATTCAGAGTCCTTGTCTCAGTCATATCAAACCCACCCATCACCAATCCAATCTGGCCATGACCATCTACAACATATCTCAACCCCCGGCCCTTGAACGTTTAAACCACCCCACGCCTGCTGCTCAGTAAAATCTAATTGACGCATCTTTCGGCACCTCGCTTCCGTCCGCTGGGCCCTGACAGAGCCACCGAAGCCCAGACAGGCTATAGTTTAGCTGAACCGGTTGAGCGGCACCCGCTTTTGCCCACTTTCTATAAGTCGAGTCTGTGTCCATCAAGGTTCATCGGTGCTTTTTTTCGCGAGCCTCTTGAAATATTATTTCTCTCAGCATCACGCAACATCCTCTCGTTGATATATAAAAACTCACAGGAGATCGCAGGTCTATTGAACATTTTCCCATCACATACATTCATTCAGCTGCAGGCTTAGCAAAAATATTTCACAGCGAATAATTACTGCTAGCGCGCGTCTTGGCGGTTGCATTCTCGTTCGAATCACACAGCGCGATTATCCTTGGTCGCTTCCTTTTTGGGGAACACCTTCGAAATAATCCTTGGCTGGAACAGCCTCTGCGTATTGGCATTTGACGACATCATTCCTGACTACTACCTCACCTCAACCTACTACCTGAGCGATCCGCGCATCTTTTCTGGGTCGTCCACTTCATACATAAGAGTTTGTCTTCTCCCTTCATCCTCGACAGCTCGTACTATTCTCCTCGACTCTTCACAATCGACAAAATGGCCGACGCAGCGGAATGCAATGGCGAAGCCGTCGATCTCGGCCGCAGAGGTCTTCGAATTGGTGCCATCTTTATCATCATGGCATCTTCAGCTATCGGCGCTCTCCTGCCTATCTTCCTCGCGCGCCAGAAGACCATCCCGGTGCCCAAGTTCACCTTCTTCATCCTCAAGTTTATCGGTACCGGAGTTATTATAGCGACAGCCTTTATGCACCTTTTGGTTCCCGCTGTCGAGAACCTCGGCGACGAGTGCTTACAGGACCGACTGGACGGCTACGATTGGGCTGAGGCCATTGCGCTTATGACTGTCATTGTCATGTTCTTTATCGAAATGCTCGCCGCTCGTCTCAGCAACGCCGATATGGAGCACAACCACTCGATAGATGGTGACCACGAACTTGACCCTGCTATGGACATTGTCAAGAAGCACCACACCCACCCTGATATCGAGAACGGTGACCAGCATGATTCCGGCTACGCTCCTGGAGGCGACAGCCACCTCGCGCACGGCCGTGAGCACAAGGAAGGCGATGCTCAGGGCGGTCTCGCTGGTCAGCTCCTCGCCATCTTCATTCTCGAATTCGGAGTTGTGTTCCACAGTATCTTCATCGGCCTCACTCTTGGCACCATAGCCTCTGACGAGCTTAATGTGCTTCTGATCGTCCTTGTTTTCCACCAGATGTTCGAGGGTCTCGGTCTTGGTTCGCGCCTGGCCGTCGCTCCTTGGCCCAAAAACCGACAGTGGATGCCTTACTTGCTCGGTCTCATCTTTGCTCTGTCGACACCCGTTGGTATCGCCGCTGGCATAGGAGCAAAGCCCAACAACGCCAACGACCAGAAACTTGTCAACGGTATTTTCGACGCTATCAGCGCTGGTATCCTCATGTACACTGGTCTGGTCGAGCTTCTTGCTCACGAGTTCATGTTCAACCCCTACATGCGTAAGGCTCCTATCAAGATTCTCTTGCTCGCATTCGCCTGTGTTTCATTCGGCGTGATAGTTATGGCC